GACCTTTTATTACACCCAGACGCTCCTGGACCCTCATGTGGAGGGGTCTGGACCCTCAACCCCCTATGGTTTTGAGGGACCCAGTCGGGCTGTTTGGAGCGTCTGGGCACACACTGTTTCCTTGCACGTCTTGGGGACAGAGATCAAGTCAACGAGGTATTGACCACTCGTTTGGGTGGTTTTCCCAAAACCTCGCCCGAAAAAAACCAGACACGACCGGTGGGAGCAGTCCTGACTCCCGATCGATTGGGGAGGTGCCAGGGGGGTCAATGGGGCGGCATATATGGCAGTCCCATGGAGTGTCTGGGATATATATATATATACCAGGAACTTCAAAGTGACCTCCAATAGAGTCCACTTAGAGAAAACATATCAAAGGTGCACTTAACAAATCGAAAGGGTCACTTGATGTGGTAAGTGACCTTTTGATATTGAAAATCTATCAGGTGGTTTGATGATGGAAGAGGATGATGCGGGGTGAAGAAGGCTCCGCGCGTTCTTCGAAGGCACCTGCGGCTCAGGTGACATGCGGATGGCAGGAGAAACCATGATCATGGGCAAACCATGGTGGTCAGTGCATGTCACAACATGTCACAACATGTACTACCCTATAGGAACTTGGTCTTGCTTTTGCAGCCATGGGTGATGATCATAGCTCTTTGGTGGACCCTGGAACCAAAATGAAGAACTTGACGGAGGAGGGAAGGTGCCTTGCCATGACTATTGGAGCAAACAAATCGAATCCATACCATATCTCCTGGCTGCCCCCTTGGGAATCTGAGGCTTCTTCGAAAGGCAATTGAAAAGAATATGCCTGCATCCGTGAAGGAAGACCAAGAGTTTGTGCCCGGCGGAGACATTAGAACAAGAGGGAACTCCTGGCTTCGAAAAGCTTTTGATGAAGCCCAACTACCCAGGGTTCTTCGTGAGGGTGAAGTAAGGAGGGTCATCCACCAGATTTCCAATGTCCATGGGCTGTGTATCTTGGCACACTATTATAGCATGCACATGATCGTACTGTTTCTATATGGCCATAGAGTCAGATCAGTTTGGTATTTCCTTAGGCCCCTTCACTCGCAAAGATGAGCGGGAAACATGGTTGCTTGATCAGGCACCCTGGCCCTAGCTGAAAAGACTAAATATAATTCGTTCCTAGCTGCTGCCAACATATGGCAGTCTCCCTCACAATTGAGGCTGCCAAATGCCACAAGGTGATGTTACGGCATAAGAAAATGTCTTTCAGACCATCGTCAAGTTCGAGCAGTTCCAATCTGACTATTGTGCACCTGGGACATGAGAGAAAACCATGCATGTGAACCATGTTTCCATGAAACATGGTTTTAATTAAGGAACCCTGATGAATTGGATACCCAACCGATGCCATTCCAAATCCTGGATGAGAGACAAATGCTGCTTAGCTATCGATTTCCACAGATCCATGCCCGTCGCAGTCCATTGTGCGATGACCCTTTCGATTTGTTAAGTGCACCTTAAGCGGCCGCTATTGGGGGTCACTTTGAAGTTCCTGGTGGCTATGAAACCAAGGTTGCATTCGGGTTCAAAGGAGGTCATTGAAATCGCCGACTCTGTTGTATCTCACATATCTCACGATCGTCAGCCTGATGGTGACTCCCCGTTCTCCATGCCAGCCGAATCGGAAGTTGAGCCCACTATTGTGGATGCCCCTTGGTAGCTTGTTTAAAGGTTGCGCATCTTTCCTTGTGGTATGGGTAACCAACAAAACAACCAGTGCACTGATGATGCTCCAATGCAGGATGAAAGTGAAGAAGGTGCAGAAGCTACGCCAAAGAAGAAAGACAAGAAGGCTGAAGGCGAAGATTCTTCATGCAGTTCCAGTGAAGAAGGAGGCGAGTCAGAGGAAGAAAACAACAAAGAAGACAAGAAAACTAAGAAAACCCAAGCGGATGAGGATGAAGCATCCAGCTCTACAAGCAGTTCAGAAGAAGATGAGGAGGAGAAGCGTGAAGAGTTTGATGTTGAAGTTGCAAAGGCCCAAGATGCGATGGCTGAAAGTGAGGATAGAGAAAGGTCAGCGCCTGACAGTGCTGATGGTGACAGCAGTGAAGGCAAAGATGAGGATGCGTCAGAAGTAGGAAGTGAGGGAGATGAAGGCAGTGAAGATGACGGTGATTCACTCGATGAAGAAGCAAAGCATCTAAAATCATGTGATGATCAGAAGAAGGCAGAAGAATGCAGTGAAAGTGATGATGGCAACCATTCAGGCGATGAAGAAGCAAAGGTTCAGAAGAAGAAGGATGAAGGTAAAGCAGTGCCCCAGAAGGAAGCTGAACCAGAAGACGATGAAAGAAGCGATAGTGAAGATGACAGTGAAGCATCAAGTGAAGGAGAAGCAAAGGAGGCTGAGAAGAAGGAGGACATACGCCAGAAGGAAGTTAAACCAGAAGAGA